AGCTGCCCCGACGTAAGCTGGATGTTGAAAGTACAGTTGTTAAAGCTTCCAATCGTTGCTCCTGAGAAAACACCCGATCCCATCTGGACTGGATTAAAGGTGGCAGACTCAACACTGGTAACAGAAGTGGTGGGACGAGTTGTGGTTTCTGTGCGAGTGGAGATGCTAGAAAGCTGGTTGCTGCTGGAGCGGCTCAGCGCAAGGGACATTCGCCGTTGATGTTCATGCGAGGCCGATTTGTAAGCGTCGAGACTTTTCAGACTGCGATGGCCACTTAACTGTGCCACAAAATTATCTGGGACGTCTGCATCGAGGAGACGTGAAATGCAGGTCTTTCTCACCGAGTGGTTGGTTACTCTGCCCTGTAAACCAGCATTTTTCGCAGCGGTGGGGAGAAATTTGCCGATTTCGTTTTTACCAAGCGGACTTCGCATATACCACACGTCGTCATCTGGTTTTCGCTGATGTTTGACTGCGAGGTAAAAGGGGGAATCTGGCTTGTTCATCTCCAAAGGACGACGGCGAGCAAATTCTTTGAAGAATTTAACCGGGCAACGCTCGTTGCCGGTTGCTTGCGCAGTAGGGTGGAAAGCACGAACACTGTATGGCTTGTCTTGGCCTTGACGTGTTTTGGACCCTCGCTCATATCTCCACACAAGAATCTCATTCTCCGTTTCTGGGTCTTTCTCCAAAGTGACGTCTCCCCACTTTAATCGGCGGCTTTCGTCTCGAGCTCTGAACCCAAAGTGAAGGGCAATTATCCACCACAAGGTACGCTGCAAGGCTGTCGGATTGGAGGTCCCAAATTCACCACACTCGAAAAGCTTGTCTTCCTCGGCCTCGGTCAGCTCACGGGCAGCTTGTGGTCTGTTCCCCTTGCCATGTTCCACAACAAGCTGACGGCGCTTGGCACTTAACACTTCTCTGGAGAGTTTGAAGTTGTCTCCGTCAATAATATTTACATTTGAACCTCTTTCGTTCAAGGCGCGTTGGAGACTACGTTGAAAGGACGTCAAACTGACAGGCTCGTACTCTGTGCCGTCCAATTTCTTTGCGGTTTTGAAAAATTTGCACAACAGCAAATTCAGTTCTTCCTGAGGTATGTCACACAGTTCCCTATTCTCGTTTTCTTGTAAACAAAACCGCTTCCATACCTTCATGTCACTTTGTGTTTTTAGTTTTGTGTTTGCCGGTTTTTGTTGCAAAATAAATTCATGAAACTCGTCAACATTTTTGTTTTCTTTGTTTTCTTTCTCGTTGACGCATTCAGTTTTCTCGTTTTCCAGCTCCATCGATACACAAACCACAGGAAATCTTTAACTGTCACGGAAAAGATTTTTCAGGGAAAAACTAAGAAAGAAAATTTTGGTAAACCGGCTTTCGCCTCGGATGAATTTTCCTTGCGGGACAAAGCCCTTATCCCGAGCGGGCAAGATAGCTCCATCTTGCCCGCTCGGGTAGCCAATCACAGCGCGAGATTCGGTTCATCTTGCCCGCTCACGGAGCTAGTCATATAA